TACTTTAGAGAACTACCCATATTCTATTCTGTGCGTAGCTTGATCGGAGCTACAAGTCCAATTTAATGCTGCCAGGGCATCTCTTGAACTGAGCCTGGGGATGATGCGAAGAGAAACTCAGTAGCGGGGTGGGTCACCTTTAACCTTTTGGGATTTTCATAGTCCTACCATATTTGACGAGGTTGGCCGTTTTTGGGCTAGGGTACTCAGCCCTTATAAGGAAAGGGTCGCCCATAAGCAGGGACAGCGCTCGCCTGGACTTCGTAGGACAAAAGAAGGCGAAGCCGAGGGATTCTTGTCCTCATGCTTGCTATGCTCACTACTGTATTTGTATACCTAGTACTACGGCAAGCACAGCAACTACTTTTGCCCGATTATTCCCACTATGTCTACTACCATGACTATTACCATTGTCACTGCCCTTAACAGCCCTGAACCCTTAAACTCCAAAACCTCAAACCCCTAAGCCCTAAGCCCTCAACCCTAAGGGTTTTGACCCTACCGTAGCCGAAAAAACCTCCCTTTGAAGGGTTCCTTATTAGGGTTGATTTACAGAGGTTTTTAGACTAAAGGTAAACCCTAAACCCCATAATATGACGGCCCTTGAAACCACTAAGCCCGAAATTCTTCAGCTCCGAACTTATATGAGTCTTCTGTCTTAAGCTATGTGACCCCATAACCATCAGTTTCAAGGGTATCCCCCCCATTTTTTTAACACGCCCCCTACGCCCCATGGTCTGCTACGCGACGGCGTCTGTAGCACTAGTGCTGATGATATAAATCCTGCATGACCGTAAAGACCCTCAACTATGCGAATTATGGTATAGTCTTTATTATGGGCAATGCAGGATTTATACCATCAACCGTAGTGTTCTATACTCTCCAGATTCAGCCCCTAAAACACCCCTTGGCCCGCAGGTCCTAATCCCCAACCTCTTCAACCCTAAAGCCATGACCCCTAAACCCTTAGACCTCTCAACCCTAGGCCCGCAAGAGCCCCTAAACCCTAAACCCCCTAAACCCCTAAACCCAACAACCCTAAACCCCTAAACCCCAAAGCGCCCCTAAAACCCCTAAACCCCCTAAAGCCCCCCCCAACCCCCAAGAACCCAAAGCCAGCGCTCTGAGGCTCGAGAGCCTCATCGACCACCTGAACCCACAGCTCGAGGCCGGTTCTTGGAGTCATGCGCCTTTTGGGCAGTTGGTGGGTTTTTTGTTTGGGGATTTCTTTTTAGGGTTTAGGGGTTTAGTGGGATCTTGTTACTTGGAGGTTCATGGGTAGTTCTAAGTGGGGTTCTAAGTCCCCTAATATGGGTTTTAACTACAGTTACCAGACTTATAACCCTACTTATAGCTACCCATGAACCTCCAAGTAGGGGTTTTTATTTATGGGAACTTGAACGAAATCCCTAACAAGAACCCAGGTTAGTGACGTCTTTCCGTTCAAGGTTCCTTGAAGGGCTTCTATAAGGGGTTTGTTTGAGTATAAGGGTTCCAAGTACTTAGCTCTATTATTTCTTTACGTGAGAATAGTGATCAAAAGTATTCTTCCTATACTAAATTACTAAAGCATATTTTCAAAAACCCTGAAGCCCTAAAGCCCTAAACCCCTAAACCCTAAATTACTAAAGGCATAAATTTTCAAAAAAAAAGGCCCTAACTCTGAGGAACTTCTCAGGCGCCTAGCAGGTTTGGTGTAGACTTCGGGTCTTGATGAGTTGAGAATTTCCTGGGATCCCCAGTAGAACCCTTCTGCCCTCTTTTTGGGTTCCCTCATGGAAAAACTCAACTAGTAGGGTTTAGGGTTTAGGGTTTGGGTAGGAGAAGATAAGAAAGGGTAGCCTCATCATTGAGGGCCTACTAGGGAACCGCGGCCTTGGGAGCAACTCTAGGCGCATGACAAAATGCTGCAAACTCCTGATTGTGGCAACTTGTTGACAGCTATGTAAGAAGCTTCCCAAACACAGGCTCTGATAGAATCCCTGGCTCAAGACCACCGTAATACCCTATGAAGCTGTGAGCCCCATGACAAGAACTCTGATAGAGCCCTGATTACAAAGCCCTGCGCCCCAAAGCCCGAAGACCCGAAACCCCCAAGCCCCCAAACCTTAAATCCCTGAACCCCAAAGCCCGAAACCCTAAACCATCCTAAGAAGAGCCCTGAAAAGGTGATCTGTGTGGAGCACGAGGTGACTGATCAAGAGGAAGTCTTGAAGCCGGGCCCTCTGCAAAGAAGGACAAGTTACTTAAGGGGTTTAGGGTTAGGGGTTAGGGGTTTATGGTTTCGGGATGCGGTTCCCCAGGTGGGAAGCCTTACTTATGACCTACATACTAAGTCCCTGATCCTGTACATTTGCAAGCAAGGTGTTATCCTGCGCCAGGAAGAGCAAGAGACGCTACTTTTGAGCGAGACAGGCATCTTCAAAAAAGTAGAGAGAGTCCCTTTAAGTTCAGCTGTTGGACCTTCCTTAGAGGCATCTCTTCTCAGTTGCACTGTGCATGCTTAGTTTTGGACTCGACAGATGCCGAGGTACTTGAGATCGACCACCTTGGCGGGACCCTTTGCTACAGAGGTGATTTGCATTTGGAGCTACTGTGCCTCAGCCGTGGAAGCCATTCCACAAAGCGTTTTGACAACCCCACCTCGCACAGGCTTTGCAGACTGCACCTTACCATTGGGTTTTGGGTTTAGCGGTTTAGGGCTAAACCCTAAACCGTTCAGTGCATGATGCTCGCAAGCGACAGTCATTTCGGCTGATCACGGTCGAAGCGACAACGACTCTCCGAGCTTTTCGTCATGCCGTTGCTGGACTCACCAGTGCTGTACCCAGCACCGAAGGTCCAGTGGTACACACCGACGCCACGGAAGCCGAGCCACGAGAATCCCCTCGGCATCGTCTTCCCGGAGGACACAGAGAAGGAGACGAGGGTGACTGGAGCCCGAGGTGTGAGGGAAGGATCCCCTCCAGAAGACTTGATGATGGTCAAGATCGACGGCGCACTGGATTTACTGCCGTCTGACAACTTCGGGCCGCACTTCTATTGTGCCACAGCGTATTACCCAGGTGAGGGTAACGCAGAGATAAATGCGAGAAAGACCGAATTCGCCGTCGGGAAGGCGAATCCCGCACGTCCTGACCTTGACAATTGCATGCTACAGAAGACCGTTTTAGTACCTTACAATCGGAAGCAACAGCTCTTGATGGTGGAGATCCACGAAGTGGATCCCGAAGACTCAGAGGTGGAGGACTGTTTGATCGGCCAGGCAACCTTGCCACTGGCAGATCCAAAGATCGAGTCCTCGGCAAACTGGCCGCTGTTCCGTGGCTTCGAAAGCAGCGGCTCCTTGGCGGTGCAAGTCCACATCCCCCAGGTGAATTCTGCGGGCCCGAAAACGCTTGAGTGTACAACACCATCCGTTTGCAAGCCCTCCAAGCGGAGCAATACTCCTCCAAAGGGATTTCCGGAGCCCGTGTCTCCACTTAGCCGGACATTACCGTACAGGTGCAAGCGATCGGAGCGCAGTGACACTCCTCCCGAGGGATTTCCAGAGCCCGTTTCACCATCCAGAGTGGCGCGCCCAACCCTCCTGGAGAGCCTGCGCTATGGAAAACAGACACCCGAGGAGAAGAAGTGCCAAGCATTCGACGAGGATGCGTGGACGCGGGACATGGGCTCCTCCCAAATCTTCACTGGCTGCGCGCCTTGCGATGCGTTTCTGGAGTCCATGCGCAAGGGACCAGATTTGTTGCAGCACTCGCCATTGCTAAAGTCCCTGATGAGTGGCGTGGATCCCCTTGCCGATGTGGACATCCGTCTCCCCACCCAGGCCGGAGGCAGCCGCCTTCATTCGTGCATCAGGCCAGAGCAGGCACAGACGGTGTCAGCTGTGTCAGGCAATGTGCAATACACACCTGCGAGCTACGTGCCAGCAAGGCCACATCATAGCCACATGCCACCCCGCACAAGCTACAATCCAGTCCCCACGCAGCAATCGCTGCTTGGCACATCCAACCCAGCCCGGATGCTGCAGAACCGGCAGGCGAGCTGCATGCCGCAAGTTACAGGCTTCAATCCAGTATTCAAGCAGCAATCGTTGCTTAGCACAGCAAGCCCAACTCAGACTTCAACAAACCATGTGCAGTACCGGCAGGCGAGCTACATGCCACAAGCTGCAGGCCACAATCCAGTCATCCAGCAACAATCGTTGCTTGGCACGGTCAGCCCAACTAAGCCTGCGATGTCAAGCAGTGCACAGCACATTAATAACGCAAGCTACATGCCGTCGCCGTCAAGCCAGAAGCCACTAGTGCAGCCCTCGCTGCTTAGCACAAAACGGCCAACCGATATTCAGACGACTTCTGCTGTCTCCAGTAGTGTGCAGGCGATGTTCACGCTGCCGACAGCCATAGAAAGCTGCAGGCCATACACCATGCAGCAATCGCGGGTTGGCACAGCAAGGCCAATGCGGACGCTGCCTCCATTCCCAGGCAACGTGCAGTACATGCAGATGCAGCCAGCAGGCGCAAGAGGCTACCATCCTTTTGCTGGCCAGTACTTCGCGTGCGTGAGATGAAAACAAGGTGTGTACTTCTGCAGTGCTTTCGCGCGTGCCAAAGGACAGCTACACTCCAATCTTGTGTAGCCAATTGACGCCTTTCCAAGGTTGGCATCTTGCCTGTGCCTCACCCCATTGTCATCCGAACCTACCAGGCGCCAGTGCTTGCAGGTCGTTCACCTCTTAGGTCTGTTTGTGCTCGGGGCTTGGAGGTCATAAGTTGTTGGCTCTAGGAGTGCACTGCCAGCAGTGGCCCAGCCAGCATGCACGCTCGCACCAGACCGTTGGAGCGATGCGCAGGCAAGTGCCTACACTTCCATGTGGTTCACTTCGTATATGCCGGGCGCTTACATGGTTGGAGTTCTCATTTGTCTTCGACTAAATACACACGTTCGCCCAAGTCAGTCTCACTATCCAGGACCATTTGTGCAAGAGTTTGCTAGACTGGTTTTCTTGTTCCAGTTGTCACGAGTTCCACTTGAGCATCATGCCCTGACTGAGCTCTTCCGCTCTTGAGAGCGAGCATGCGTCGTGTGTGCTTGGACTTTGCGACTCTTACCGGCAACCCTGTCGCAACCCTGTCGCCTTTCTGACAAAGATCTAGGACATTTTCAGGTGGGTAGTTACCGATATAGAAGCCTTATAGAAGGTCTATATACCTTACAGGCTTCCCTATAATATATACCCTAAACTCCCCACCTGTAGTTTCCTTTAAAAAGATCCTTGCTCAGGTGGGGAGTCATCTTCACCCGCTCGCAGCGCATGCCCCTCTACGACTGGAAGAAGATTCGCTTCGTGCGCCCCCACCGCGGGGTCGTGTTATAGAGCGCGTATGTATGCATGCATGCATGACATACCTCTATCAAGATACTTGTAGACCTCTATCTGTATAGGGAGAGAAACAGCTGTGTCATTAATTTTGTTCTGTCCCTGGCCTCCGAAACTCGATGTTCTGGATCAGAAACTCCTCTTGCGAATGCGAATGATATTGTCAGAATCGTAGCAGTCTCTCAGAATCAGCAAGCATGTTGTTCGTAGCAAGGCTGACATAACAATGCCGCACGGGCCTTAAATGCAAACTGGCAGGTGTGGGCCAACTCAAAATGTTCCCATGAAGGCTCCTATAGTAGCTTAGCTTCCTGTAAGGGCCGAGGATTAGGATTTTGGTAAGAGTACTGCCGATGCCCGTGACATCATGCTAGAGAGCAGCCTATTTATCGAAGGGACACCACGACGATCACAATGGTTTTCGGTGCAGATACCAACCCATGGGCTAAGTCGCCGACCCCCTTATTTATTCAGAGGGGTTCAGGATTTCGGGTTTAGGGAGCTTGTCGCGCTGCAGGTCGTCATCAACCAGTGAGCATGCGACGCTCAGGCTCCAGAGGGAGGGCATGGAAGCGGACGCAGAGCAACAGTTTGGTTCTAGAAAGCTTCTGTTGGTGGCAGCTAAGACAGTCACTGCAGTTCGCTTCTAGCCTTCTTCAAGTTGGCGTGCCTGCCGCGTCTATGCATGGCCGGTGAGTGCTCGGTCGGCCAGAAAAGACAGTTCAGAAGCGGAAGTTGGCAGAAGGTCCTTCAAACTCAAACACAAGCAGGCTCTTAAAATTGACATGCAATTAAAAAAAGACTGGTTGCGTAGAGACCCGTCTGTATCTAGGCGGTGGGTGCAGTCTCGCAACTCGCAGGAGATGAAGGTTGTACTTATCACAATCGCTGCGACCGCCACACAACTATCTGCGGTTTTGTAGCACTGGAGCTTTGCGAGAATGCTTCCTTCAAGCAGCAGTTGCGGATTTCCGAAATAGGGGACCCTAAATTAGGGCTTAATATAGCACCCTAAATAGTAGGACCCGTATTATAAGGACCCCAAAATAAGGTACCCCTATAGTAGGACCCTTATGATAACCTGTACTTGCCACAATTTCCCTGCCGGCTACACAACTATGCGTAACTATGCAATATGTGATACTGGGCTTCTTGAAGCAGCAGCGGTGCACCTGGTGTCATTTTCCTGGACCGCAGCTTCCATATCTTCCGTCGTAGTCGGACAACTCCCACGTAAGCGGAGTGCCCCGCTCCAAGCTCTCATCACAGCCGAACAAGCAGCACCGTTTCAGTTTGACTATGCTTTCGCCCCACACCAAGCTCCAGACATCCAAGATTATACGTGTTCCGGTTGCGTACGGCAGAACCTGTACGATGACAGCAGAACCCAGCAAATGTGAACTTCGATTTCAGCAACGCCGAATCCTGCGAAATCGGAAAGCACAATGCATCGGCTTTCCGCCAGAGCGCCATGCGTTCGACTCAGAAGGGGCATTGAGTAGTAGAGCCCGGTCCCAACCAACTCCAAAGGGGAGCTGTAGACACCAACACAAGCACACACAGACACGCACACAAACAAAGACACAAGCGCATGGAGCCCCTTAAACCCAGTCAGAGGGTTCTACAGCTCTGCCTGCGAGTATCATATGACCTTCGGTGCTAACTGGGCTCAGGTCCCCAAACCCCGAAACACTGGGCCATGGCTCTGGTCAAACCTACTGCTACTTGGAGGTTCATGGGTAGTTACAAGTAGGGTTATAATAACTCCTCTAATATGGGTTATAACTATAGTTACCTTACTTATAACCCCACTTATAACTACCCTTTAAACCTACTTGCTAGATGTCTTGAAACCCTCCAGGTAGCCCCACAAAGCTGATAGAGACCTGCTGAAAACCTTTGTAGAAGGGGCCATCTCATAACTAAATGAGATATCACTCTACTTGCTTTTGTTGAGGTTCGATTTCGACGAGCTTTCGGAGTGCGAGGGCGAGGACTTGGCTGGCTACGCCTCAATTAAGGAACAAAGCGGCTTGAAGAAGGTTCTCTCGGATTTTAGCCCTTTGCTTTTGACCATTTCGGGGATCGTTTTATCCAGGCACAACAGTAGAGGAGAACTTAGCCTTGCCATTGGGGAGCCTACAGGGGAACCTCAAGCTTTCCTGCATCTTCGAGTGAAGCATTCGCATTCGGTGCCCGTACATGCTTGTTGTTTGATTGAAATTGATATGCAGTTTGTCTTGTGCCGCGCGAGGAGAGCACAGACACGGGCGACGAGGGTACAAAGAGGACGGCTGCCAGAATGCCATCCTCACTGCGGCTCACTCTGCCAGAACCCCACAAGGGACGCAGTGCCGAGCTTCCGACGCAAAGCTTCGTAGAAGTGTTCGATGTTGCACTTCGGAGAACGGGGGCTACAAGTCAGGTGTTCCGAAGCCTGAAACCTCGAATCACTCCTTACAGTGCAGATAGAATACCATACAAGACCGCATAAGCCCACCGTCCCTGAACCCTTATTAGATGATAGCATAGAGTATAGTATAATATACTACCCTTTGGTTTTACATATCCAAAAACACCTAAACCCATTAAACCCATGATATAAGGACTAGTATAAGAAAATACCCTATGATATTACATCCCCAAAACCCTAAACCCATTAAACCCATGATTGGACCATGATATAGTCCTTCTCTAGATGATAGCATATAGTATGATATAATACCCTATGATATTTCATACCCCAAAAACCCCTAAACCCCATGATATAGTACCCTATGATATTACATAAACCCATGATTGGCCCATGGATATAACCGACTCTTTTTCCTCTCCAGGAGCCCCTCGCCCGGCGAGGCGGAAGCTCCTCCCGATCCGTCGGCCGACTCAGTGGTTCCTCTTTGGGTACCCAGAGAGCCCAATACCCCCTTAATAAGGAATATACCCTGAAATTATAGGGGCCTTAATAGTATGATTTAAGATCTCTCTGGGTAGTTCTCCAAAGTACTTGGAGGTTCATGGGTAGTTATAAGGAGGGTTATCGGGGTTCCTTTAGCGGGTTCTATAGGGCTTTTAGGGTTTAGTTTAGGGTTCATGGATAGTTGTAAGTAGGGTTAGGGTAACTGTAGTCATAACCTATACTAGGGCACTTATAACCCTAATTATAACTACCCATGAACCTCCAAAGTAGGGCCCCTTTTTTTAAGGGTTTCGGGTTCCCAAAATTGGGTCTCTAGGGGTTTAAGGATTCTAGCCCTAAATTGGGGCCCCTTTTGGAGAGTAGGGTTCGTAAAAGGGATCTTTCGGGGTTTCTGGAGGGTGTCTCTAAGGGTACTTTCTAGGTTTTACTTGGGTAGTTCTCTAAATCAGGATCCCTTTTAGGGTTCCCTTTCCTTTAAAGGGATTTTTCAAGGTTTCTAGAGGGTGTCTATAAGGGTGCTAGAAGGGTTCTATTTGGGTAGTTCTCTAAATTAGGGTCCTGTTTATAAGGGTCCCGTACTATTTTGGGGGCCTACACAGGGACCCTAATTTAGAGAACTACCCATATTGGGTCCTCCACAACTAGAACAGGGTTCCTTTGAAAGTTCCATCATCAAGGAGCCACCATAATTGGAGCAGGGTGCTTTGGTGTATACTAGAACTATGAAGAGAATAAGAAAGTTTTCATAAACAACAGAGTCTTTGTCGGTTATCCAGTGACAGTTTCAGCTCGAAGGAGTTCCTCTGGGCCACCGCAATACAGGGATCCAAGAGAAGTGCTCCGAATATTTACAAGAAAGCTAGTCCCGTCTCGTTTTCGCATAAGCACGCTACCATTCCAGCAGAGTCCTCGTACAACAATACTGGAATGTACACAAAAGCCTAGTTTAATGATTCCGGCCCGTATCTTAAATAGGCATGCCGAGATACCTTGCTTTGCTGCATCACCATTGACACGTGGGTGTGCGGGCCCTTTCGAGCCTTTTGTGTGTCAGGGTTGCATGGAGGTAGGTATTACTCTCAAGGCGGTGGGTGCCTGGTCGATGACTTATATATCATGTCGGGGCGTAGAGCACCGGAATCATGGCCCATTGATCTCAAGCATTCTGGCAGTCCGAATGGCATGCAGACCCTATAAGCGACCTTAAACCCACCCCTTCGTGCTGAGAGGTCGGTCGAGCTCCGTGAGAAATGCGAGCGTTCCATGCTCAGCTTTGAGCCATCACAGGAGCGGAGGCTGTTGTCCCATTCCGGCTTTGTCTTCGAGCTGGGTTTTTTCAGACTGGAGTACTATAGGGGCCTTGATAGTTACCTATACTATTTTGTGGGTTCCTTACAACAATAATTCTAGTAAATTTTCCCCAAAACCTTATTCTAAGTATTAAGGCCCCTACGTTATTCGTCCCACTCCCGTTGCATCCTCCACGCACCACCGCTCCCGAGGCTGCGGCCTTTGTGTCACCTGGGGTCCGTCGCCCAGTGAGCTTTGAAGCCAAGATTTCTACTTGCCAAGACCTCCATGGAAGTTGCTTCGACCACAACATACATTGCATCACATGCAGTGTTTTAACAAAGAAAGATATTACAGGATATGATACTGTTGAGCATATGATCTATGCTATGTGCTCGCTCGAAGAGCTGAGCAGATCTCGGGCTCAGGGCCAGACAGCGCGCAGATGGCCAGAAGCTCACATTCCATGCCAGCTTCTGATATCCCCAGATGTGTATAGCGTTGAGAGAACACCTGCGCGCAGTCTCGAGTGGTTGGGGCGGGCCTTTGAGTGCATTTCTTTGGCATCACGCAGATCGCAGGCTGCCATGCTGCAGGAGGCGGTCGCGAGTATTCTGGAATGTACGGCGCTGCAGGAATGCGCGACGAGCAAGTGTTCGCCACTTTGTTTGTGTGTGTTTTAAGCCTAGTGATACTGGTTACGGTGTAGTGTCGAGGTAGATGCTGAAACAATCCCTACATGTTGCAGGCAACGACATGGGATCGCTACGGCATCTGTGCTCTGAAAGAGGACGGACCAAAGACAAGAAGAGTTGGAAGTATGCCAGTGTACGACTGAAAGTAATCCTAACAGTAGATACTTGTAACAGTACTGGCAAGACTTATACAAAGAACAAGAATGATCTTACTTATAGCACGAGCAGCTGTAATCGCAAAGTTCTAGAGGTAATACAGCAGCAGTTCGAAAAAGGAGGCATGCAGGCAAGAGCTTCAATCGCTCTCACAATATCCCAAACCCCCTAACCCAGGGCCTGAAATGTCAATCGAAAGATCTGCCCACATCAGAACCTGGTGAGCAAGCTTAGCGTGCCTTAAGAGCTTCAGCTTCTTTGCATCTTGAGGCGGGGTTTCGACCCTTGACGAGAACTGCAGGGGCAATTGGTGTGTTTGGCTATCAAATTTTGAGAGCAACAACCTCAACACTCCACCAGCTTGCTTTTTCAGGCTGCAAGATTCGCATGTGCCACTGCGTATGTTCGTGCCTCGTCGCACTGGAGCTGAAGACGCCTCGAAAACGTAGAAAGCTTGCTGGAGGAAACAGGCCCTTTTTGCATCCTGCAAAGGCCTCGTGTCGATTCTCTGCTTCTGCTCGTGTTTCCACTCTCCTAACTTGCGCCCACCTCCCCTAAACCCAAAACCCGCCTCAAATCCTAAGTAAGCCCAGCTCCCAAGAACCCTTCTAGATCCCCTTTATATAAGAAACCCTCATAGATCCCGCTTCTTGCAACCCGCATAGATCCCCTTCACAAGAAGCCCTCATAGATCCCCTTTATAGGAAACCTTCATAATCCCCTTTAAGACAGCCAGCCCAGCTCCCAGGAGTGCTTCAAGCGCAAGATCCCACTGGACAACCTCATCGCTCCTCGGGCTCAGGGGGCTCCTGGATCCTAAGAAAGGATCGGCTTACGGGTTTAAGGGGTGTTGGGGTTTTGGGGGCTTTGGGGCTTTAGGGTTGTAGGGTTTGGGATTTTTAGGGTTTTGGGTCTCAGGGTTTGGGGTTTTAGGGTTTGGGGTGTTGGGGTTTTAGGGTTTTGGGTGTTGGGGTTTTGGGTTTTGGGTGTTGGGGTTTTGGGGTTTAGGGTTTTGGGGTTTCGGGTTTAGGGTATTGACTAAGGTTTCAGAACCCAAGACGGTTTGTGGCCGTTTCTAGCGGTACATTATTCTGGGCTCAAGAACTCCCTTGTTTGGGCCCTTGTCTCTTTAAAGGACTTTCTTATTTGGGGCTCGTAATCAAATGAAGCAAACACTTCAAATCTCTGTGATTTAAGGCATACTCCTTCTAAACGCCCGACAAAAGAACTTACTGGGTGGTTCTCTAAACTACGGCCCCTTCTTCTTAGGTCCCCAAAATAGTACGACACCCTGATAAACAGGACCCGAAAAGCTACCCAAACCTAGAGAACTACCATAATAATGCTGGTGCTTGGAGGTTCATGGGTAGTCATAGGTGGGGTTCAAAGTCCCCTTATATGGGTTATAACTACAGTTACCCTACTTATAAGCCTACTTATAACTACCTCTAAACCCTAAACCCTAAAACCCTACAGAAGCCTTTAAAGGAACCCTTAAAAGGAACCCCATAGCCCTACTTAGAACTACCCAAAAGCACTTCCAAGTGTCGACCTTCGCCCCAGGAACGGCGGCATGTTCTCGCCAGGCTCTACGATGTGCTAGCTTGGCCGGGAGCTCAAGGAAGGCTCTCTCTGTTGTCTTGAGGGCTTAGGGTGTAGAGTTCCGGGTTTAGGATTCAAGACTTCGGTCTTAGGGTTTAGGGCTTATGAGAGCAGGTTTGCAGGCTCCTGTTCTGAAGGCCCGCAGATCTCAGATCGGTTTCGCTTACATAACAGCAGTCCTCAGCTGCGAGAACTCGTGGTTGTCTCGTGGACGAACTGCTCTTTGGCTATGACTGCTTGGAAAACAACCGCCAAATTGCTGTTGCATGCTGAGGGGCTGTCAAAAGCAACATATAAGAGATGTCTGCATTTGTTCAGCTTCGCTTCGTCGAAGTCCTGCTTGAGCCAAAAGCGATACTGCTATTGTAGTCTTTCCAAAAGAACGCAACAGCGAAAGCACTCACCTCGCGCGCGATGTCTGCTCCTAGGGAGCAGATGTCCCTCAAGCAGCTGCAGTCCGAGTGCTGGCGCCGGAGGCCAAAGAGCTAATTTCTGCCGCAGGAAAGTTGACAGCCATGGATGCTATGCCGCAGCCTTCATGGTTCCGCTAGGTTTTCATCCCTTCGGGACTGTTCTCGACAGTATTGCAGGTTCATGAGCAACCGTAGCAGAATCATCTTTAAAGCATTGGCGCCAAAGATCTGGCTGTCAAGCTTCAGCAGCCCGCCCCATGCCACGGCCACGGTCCAGGATCCCGTTTGTCAACCGGACGCGCGTGAGCAACGTCGTCCTTCTGGAGACGGAAAATCCGGCACTCCACTCAAGCTTGCAGAGCGTCGGAGGTACTGGGGTTCAATCCTTTGCAGCCTGGGAATTTGAGGATTCTGGTTGTTTCTCCATCCTTTCTCTTGCACTTCAGCTGGCGACAGACGTGCTTGCACCGGATCTTGCATCATCCTCTGACAACAAGCATCCGGAGTGTGCTACGTTTTCGATGCTTCCTGATGCTTACACAGATTGGTTGCTGGTGACGTCTCGTCGGGGGAACCCCCAGCGCCCCTCTTCACCGAAGCGCTCCTCCCGCTTGCTGCCAGCATTTTGACGGAGAAGCAGACCTGGTGAGAAGGTTGGTTCAGGACCCGGGGCTTCGTAACAGTCACCCGATTCTGGCCCAGGGCTGTGGGAAGGAAACTTGAGGTAGCATCCCAAAAAAACCGCGCTCCGAAGGAGTTGTGGATCTGGATCTCCTAAACTCCCGAAGACACCGTTGCCTACACCCGTGGCACCCATATCCCTAAATCCGAGAATCCTAAACCCCAAACCGAATTCCCTAAGCTTTAGACCCCCGCTAAACCCACTAGACACTACTGTATCGGCGTACCTTACATGATGGTTTACCACATTGCATGAATAACACCCCCAACTCGTCCAGGACGCCTTTCCGGGTGCAACGGGGCCACTGCCCGTCGGAGGCCGGTGATTGGGGCAATGAGGGGCGCCGTAAGGGTTCTATTCTCTATAGGAGCGAGTTTCACGGCTTCTACAAGGATTTGTTGTAAAGTCGGCTTTCTGAAGGTTTTAGAGGGCCTGAAAATAGAACGAGGTGGGGCTCTGTAGAGTTGATGAGTATTTTGGTAGGGTTTTAATATTCCCAGAAATGGATTGCACAAGGGTTTCAGGAGGGTTCTCGGCACCCGATAATGTTCAGAGGGGAGTTGGGGCTGAGGTTCTGCGGTATTCATGAGCCTACCTGTTTTGCCTGTAGGTTCCTCGTTATATTCCTAATATAAAACTGAGGGATCCTGAAAAGAAGCAGTTTCTGGTGAGTCAAAGTAGGCGGCATGTACAAACCGTTGCCACGAGTTCTTGTAGACCCTTGAGACGCTCGGCCATGTAGGGCAAGATAGTGTGTTACAATAAAAACAGTACATCGTCGTATATTGTAGTATAGTGTATTATGGGAGAGTAGAGCAGGGTTTACGGGGCTTGAGCCGCTCCCGTGGAATGCTTTTGATCTTGTACGCTTCGGGCTGCGTGGTAGGTGTTGGAGGTGATCCCAGCATGCTCCATGCTCCTTTGCCGACCAGCGCAGTAGCCGAAGCTTAGATCAATGCACAAGCTTCCCACAAAGCTCTGCCAGGCATCTCCGGCATCTGGGAGTGTGCAGCCCAGCGGCTGAAGCAACTATCAGCAATTGGAGCAAGTCTCGCTAACCTCCGGATCACACTCCAGCATTCTTGTTTCCAAGGTCCACTACCCCTCCAAGTTCATCAGGAGGTCCTGGACAAGTGATTACACAACGCAAGGTCACATAGGTGGCTTTGTAACCTTCAGACATACGAAACCCAAACGCCCACCAAGCCACTCTGTGCTTTGTCCGCAAAGATGCATGAAGCAATCTGCAAGACCGAAGCGTCCTAGAATCGCCATAAGTACAAACCCGCAAACACCTTGATCTACTACACTATACTATAGTATAGTATACTATAAGAGAATATTATGATATTATTGTTGAAAAAATCTGAAAAATTTTCTGAACAAAAGAAGCTCGCATCATGGACCGAGGCCCGGCGAGGGCAGCTACAAAGGCGCGAAGCCAGGCCTTGGGCTCGCATCGAAGCACCGTTGGGTTGCCTTTTTGAGGAACTCAAAATAAGTTACTACAGTTTTTCAGGAAACCCTGTATCATTTACTCTTAGAAGCTGGAACTTAAGTTTCTTTGTTGCTGTAGCAAGGCCCTATTAGGATCCCTCTTTATAGGTACTCTTGTTTTGGGATTAATTCCTAGGCCCTACGCCCTAAAAGCCTGGGTTGCTGTTAAGAAAAAGGAGACCCTAGATTATCTACTATGCATCCCCCGGTATAGTAACTTAAATTCAGTTCCAAAACAGCAACCCAAACTTTGGCTAATTTTTTCTGGAGAGCCTGCTCGGAAGCTCATTCTGCAAAGTAGGTCGTAAGTTTGTGGTGGCGCTGCTGACAGACCATACCGCCTGCATGCTGAGTTTTGAGAGCACCAGGCAGTCGCAGCGAATCTGAGCGCGTGGCAGCGGGATGCCCAGAGGGGTCCAAACCTAGAGGCTAAAGCTCCAAGAGGGTGTCGGAAAGTTTAGGCTACTCCTCGAAAGAGCATTACAGTAGTACTATTGCGAATGTCATTAAGTTTTACTAGGATTATTGTTGCGCTGTTGCTGGTTTCATGACTACCACTAGTACTATCACGATGATTATGACTATTATCATGAGTATTTTCAAGAACCGCCAGGCATGGACGGGCGCCACGGCGTCGGGGAGCTCGGCTTAGTCCCTAAACCTTACAAAGCTAATAGTACCTATAAAGCCCTCGTTTGGCAGAACCATCATGGAGGTTAGTTACCTCAATACTTGGAATCCGCGGCTTTTCCATGGGTTTAATCGGATTTTGAAGGGTGTCACTTCGTCCAAACTTTCCGGATGCCACTTGCGAACTCGACATGCTCTCAGCTCACAACGATGGTAGTTCATCAACAGGCTTCCATTTTCAGATGACAACTCTCGAAGACACGGCCACAACCCACAAGCTTCAAGAATCTGGTGCTCAGCCCTATGTTTGAACTAGATAATATGTATCATGTTACATATACCCTCTATATATATATGTATATATATATATATGTAATATACTACATATAAGAAATTGCATGCACATATACATATATATATATATATAGGTACATACACACAATATATAGGGCAGCTGAGAATCGGCGGATCCACAGGCCCGGCTACGACAAGATGCCGCAGAGTGGCGAGAGCCGGGGTTGGTCGGAGCCTTCCCCGCTTCTTCTCGCCTGTAGGGTTTTAGGGTGTAGGGTTTGGATCCTGATTCTGGAGTTTTGGGGCTGAGAGCAACTTAAGTTGACTAGCTTCCTGTAGGGTTAATTCATGACTGTTGCAGGGCAGAGCCTTGCACATGTAGCATTCTGTTTTGGTCGAATCGTGTCAGCGGTGCGCGATGCTTCACAAAGTCTCGCTTGTTTGGTTTTTCAGCGTTGCTTGCTATCGACGATCTTCTGATCTCAGCAGATTAATGCAACCTGCAAACAGCTGCTGGATTCAGCCAAGTGTCTCTTGTCGCTGCGTTGCAACATGTTGCAAACATAGCCCAAGATCCTGATCTGATACATGTTCACCCCCGGTGCCTTCTCTCTACTGCTTTTGCTTTGGAAGGGTGTCCTGCAGATGATGATCAGTCAAGCCTAGCGACATGCTGCAGAGGTCAGCACCATGTGGGCTACCGCCTGGTGCAAGGCAGGAGATTGTGGCTGCTGGTGCCCATGTTTCTCTCTGCGCAGATCAGGAACACTGCGGAAAATAGAGAACGGGTGATCACGACTGCTGTGACACACGGCACGGCAAAGGCTCTACTGTTTGTTATCTGACCAGGAGAACCCGTCCTTCGTCATCCTACCTGGGAGTATCCATGCCGACAGCGTTTGATGTCTTGCTGCAAGTGCTTCGAAAACCTACCCCACCTCTTACCGGCACTAGGGTGCCGGCATTATGCTCATAATGAACAGTCATTTCGGCTAATCGAAAGGTCTTGCCTGATCGGCAGATCAATCTTTTTTTGAGATAGGACTCTCCGAGCTTTTCATCCACATGCCGCTGCTGGACTCGCCAATGCTGTACCCAGCACCGAAGGTTCAGTGGTACACACCGACGCCACGGAAGCCGAGCCACGAGAATCCCCTCGGCATCGTCTTCCCGGAGGACACAGAGAAGGAGACGAGGGTGACTGGAGCCCGAGGTGTGAGGGAAGGATCCCCTCCAGAAGACTTGATGATGGTCAAGATCGACGGCGCACTGGATTTACTGCCGTCTGACAACTTCGGGCCGCACTTCTATTGTGCCACAGCGTATTACCCAGGTGAGGGTAACGCAGAGATAAATGCGAGAAAGACCGAATTCGCGGTCGGGAAGGCGAATCCCGCACGTCCTGACCTTGACAATTGCATGCTGCAGAAGACCGTTTTAGTACCTTACAATCGGAAGCAACAGCTCCTGATGGTGGAGATCCACGAAGTGGATCCCGAAGACTCAGAGGTGGAGGACTGTTTGATCGGCCAAGCAACCTTGCCACTGGCAGATCCAAAGATCGAGGCCTCGGCAAACTGGCCGCTGTTCCGTGGCTTCGAAAGCAGCGGCTCCTTGGCGGTGCAAGTTCACATCCCCCAGGTGAATTCTGCGGGCCCGAAAACGCTTGAGTGTACAACACCATCCGTTTGCAAGCGCTCCAAGCGGAGCAATACTCCTCCAAAGGGATTTCCGGAGCCCGCGTCTCCACTTAGCCGGACATTACCGTACAGGTGCAAGCGCTCGGAGCGCAGTGACACTCCTCCCGAGGGATTTCCAGAGCCCGTTTCACCATCCAGAGTGGCGCGCCCAACCCTCCTGGAGAGCCTGCGCTATGGAAAACAGACACCCGAGGAGAAGAAGTGCCAAGCATTCGACGAAGATGCGTGGACACGGGACATGGGCTCCTCCCAAATGTTCACTGGCTGCGCGCCTTGCGATGCGTTTCTGGAGTCCATGCGCAAGGGACCAGATTTGTTGCAGCACTCGCCATTGCTAAGGTCCCTGATGAGTGGCGTGGATCCCCTTGCCGATGTCGACATCGGTCTCCCCACCCAGGCCGGAGGCAGCCGCCTTCATTCGTGCATCAGGCCAGAGCAGGCACAGACGGTGTCAGCTGTGTCAGGCAATGTGCAATACACACCTGCGAGCTACGTGCCAGCAAGGCCACATCATAGCCACATGCCACCCCGCACAAGCTACAATCCAGTCCCCACGCAGCAATCGCTGCTTGGCACATCCAACCCAGCCCGGATGCTGCAGAACCGGCAGGCGAGCTGCATGCCGCAAGTTACAGGCTTCAATCCAGTATTCACGCAGCAATCGTTGCTTAGCACAGCAAGCCCAACTCAGACTTCAACAAACCATGTGCAGTACCGGCAGGCGAGCTACATGCCACAAGCTGCAGGCCACAATCCAGTCATCCAGCAACAATCGTTGCTTGGCGCGGTCAGCCCAACTAAGCCTGCGATGTCAAGCAGTGCACAGCGCGTGCACGCAAGCTACATGCCGTCGCCGTCAAGCCAGAAGCCACCAATGCAGCCGTCGTTGCTTTCCACCATAGGGCCAACCTATATTCAGACGACTTCTGCTGTCTCCAGTGGTGTGCAGGCGATGTTCACGCTGCCGACAGCCACAAGATGCCGCAAACCATGCACTGTGCAGCAATCGCGGGTTGGCATGGCAACGCCAACACAAACGATGTCGACGCTCTCAGGCAATGCGCAGCATATGCCACCGGCCACCGGAGGCTACCATCCCTTCGCCGGCCAGTACTACGTGCGCGTGGGATGAAAAAAAGGTTGTGCGGCTGCGTTGTTTTCTGCAATCTACAGTAAAAGCCATTGCTGGCACAGAGGGTGATTTCTTCGTGCTGCTTGTCGGGTGTAAACTACAGCTGGTTCAGCTCACGGTTCCGCTTTTCTGAAATGGTTTGCACCGACAGTGCGACCCAAACAGCCGGTGTTTCCACATGTTGTTAGTGAAGTTTTTGACACAATTGACAGTTTGGGTGTTGCTTGCAACAAAACGGGTGCGGCCACTCACGGTGATTGCGGTTGCCAAGGTCACCGAAACTGTGCCCCGGAACACAAACAGCTTCTTAAGACTCCTGTGTCTTTGAAGATGAAGTGACCTGACAGGAAAGGATACACTCCACCACCGCCGCCCGATCCGAAGCGCAAGGCCGCGCCGGCTTCTCAGGACACTTAAGTTCTTGCTGCCATGCCTTCTCCAGCGCAGTGCCTAAAGAGCCCAAAGCACTTAATCATGTATTTCCGGGATATACCTTACATCGTACTAAGGGGTGGCAGTTGGGCACAGCAGCTCGAGGATAGCTGCCTTGTCGAAGCTCCCCATGGCTTCAGGCTAACATCACGAACGACGGTTTTGCCCTTTGCAACATACCACTAGAAGCATTCGATATTGGCATTTCGTGGTTCAAGAACAATAAGTGGCAGTGGACTCCGTCCACCATGCAGCAGGGTGCCTTCCTACCTCCCCGACCCATCTTTCCACGAGCCAGCTTCATTGGCAGCTTTGCCCAGGTTGATGCCATAAGTTTTTCGATATGCCAAAACGACATCATCAGATGCCCCTGATGTCCAGATCGCAGGTTCATGTGAGGTCAACATGAAATCTACGAATTTCTTCAAGAAACCTCTGACACCTGCTGAAGCCCACATCTCCAGCAAGAGCTGACGTCTAAATCTTGGTCCTAAATCCTCCACGCCACATCCGAAGCCCTAGACCCGAAACCCTCAACCCTCAAACACAAACCCTAAAACCCTAAACCCTAAACCCTTAAACCCTCAGCCCTCAAACACAAAGCCTCCGAGGCCCGCTCCTGGCTTCGCCGGCGCCAATGCCTACGCCTACCCGCGCTTCCACTTCCAGCCACGCGCCACAGCTCGGGCTTTTAGGCTTTGGGCCTTCTTGGTTTAGGGTTGTTGTCCTTTTGGATGTGGGGCTTAGGCCGTAGGCTCTTGGGTTTAGGATGGTTTGGTCGGCATGTTTACAAGAGATGGTGGGTGACCTTCGCGAGGAACTCGAATGTGAGGGGTGAAGCTTAATTAGCCTGTGCGCACTGAGTAGTTTGAGTGAGGTTTGGGGCACATCATGGTATAGTTGTACAGGCACTACAAGGGGCTATTACGTTGCATGCCAGCCTAAGACCCAAGAGCGTATTTCTGGCAAGGGGCCACCCAGTACTTAGGGTCTCGAGGTTTCAGGGTATACGGTATAGGGTTAAGGGTTTCAGGGCTCAGGGGTTAAAGGGTTACAGGGTGTTACCTCATTCCATACACCCTTGTTTCCGGAACTTTGCAACTGTCACAGGCCTGGCCGATAGTCCAAATTCCCTTTGAGACCCCTAGCTTTTTGGAAGATAGCATGTCGTCGCGATTCGGAGCTTAAACCACGTCAGATCTAACGTGGAGAACTCTGTCGCCCAAGGCATAAACCGAGGAGGTAACACACTTGTGCCTTTGAGGGTGGACCTAAGAAGGGACCCTAATTTGGAGAACTGCCCACCTGATCCTGAATCCTAGAATGCAGGCTGCAACCTCATGATTAAGTTCCGTTTGCCCCTTAAGCTCTTAAGTCGCGTTGATCACTCGCAAATTCCCAGTATGAAATGTTTCATTGGGAGCCTGATTTGCTTTAAGTTTCCAGACTGAAGAATCCGTATCGTTTACTATCAAAGCCCTGCAAAGCTATAAAACATCATAACATCCTGAAGCCAATATGTGAACATCTACTTCCCCACATTCTGGGCTTGGGCTTGATGTACGCATACTCGGCTGGAGGGACATGTGATGGCTGCAACTATGGAAGATGACGAATGTAATTTACGTTTAGAGAGTATCTTGCCTAATTAGGGGGTAGATTAGGCTCTTTGGTTTGCAGCAGCCTGACCTCGGACCCAGGCACGACGTTCCGAGTGGTGGTGCCACGTAGGGCCCTCAGCGACAGAGATATGTTGATGTCGACACAGGCTCACTTTAGTTTAGGTTGGTCTTTGATCACTGTTCAATCTTAAACCTTGTTGAGCCACACGAAATGTTCGAAGTTCCAACCCTGGTGACGGGCTAAATTTTTGCATTTTCCTCTGACACCTGTTCTACTCGCGCCTGCGTACAGTACAATGCTGCAGCAGAGAGGCTGCTCGCATCACAGAGCCATGATCACAACGCGATCCACAAAAAACCCTGCATCTTTCACTGGCTGTTTGTTGTCGGCCTCCTCTGCTCAGGTTCGGAGCAATCCCACAGGAGGAAGCTGACGCCTCGGCTGCTTCTCCACATTGTGTAAGGACAAAGAGCAGACGGCTGAAGCAGCGCAAACGGTCGGAAAGCCTGCACATACTTTGACCCGGCTCGTTCTGCACCGGTGCTAGACTCCTCAATCAGTGCATCAACGCCCACTCTTGAATGCGCACACACCTCAGGACCCTCCAGGATCTGAGCACTACCGGACGCGGCATCCTCAGCGGATGCAGCATGGGCGGCGTGTCGAGTGGACTGTTGGATTATTACTTTCCGACCTTAAGTCACGTCACCTTAAAAGAGGTGCAAGTAAACGATATGCTTTCTGTGGTATGTAAGCTAAAATCAGTCAGTTGGCAGGAACAGAGTCTTTGGAAGAGTTATAAGTTAGCAACTTTATTGAGGTTATCCTATGTGCAACCCTACCTACAGCGTGTGCACTTGGTCCCATGATGCTTCGAGTGCTTGCATCCGTCTTCCGTCGCAGAATATATGGGTTCCACTGTTCTCGTCCACGTTGGGGGGAAGCCTGATGAACAAGCACGCTACACTGAAGGTAGCCAGGTATTGACTGTAACAATCAGATTTGGCTTCTCGACTGAAGCATGAAAGTTTTGAGAGAAGGGTGACCCCCGGGTGGCCACATGCATACTTCACAGAAAAAGCTATCGATTATCTTGACCCCGAAACGGCACACCCCTCGTTCTCAAGAAACCCGTCATAAAACCCTTTAAAAAGCATAACTGTTGGTTTTGGTAGACCTTATAAGTTCCTAGACAAACCCTACAAAAGCCCCGGCTGAACCCAAAGGGTGCCCTTGGTTTTCTGAAGCCCTCGTCTTGAGGCTGGGATTGCGCCCTGGGGCGGCAGCACCGGAGGCACGGACTCCACCTCCGTGGACCCTGAAAAGCCAATGCTTGGAACGGATATTGAGTCGTCATCGTAGATGTCGTCGTCGTCGTGCTCGTTGTCGTAGTCATCGTCACAAGAAGGATCGCTGAGACTTTTCGGAGTTTAATGTGACAGGTATGTAAACACCCATCGGTTAGGGAACTGCCAGCTGTGATTACCACATGTACGGTGTCGGTTTCGACGCGAAAGGCATTTCAGACATGCTTTGCAAGTTGAGATGATGGGCAAAGGGTCAGCGTTTAGGGACGAAGGAATTCAAGCCTGCACCTGTCATGCCATGCCATGGTCCTGGCAGACTTATCTTCGTTTGTGTCCACTTGCAGCAAATCAGATACGTGTGCTCTTGCACTTTCAGCTCTTACTTCATGCTGCCAAGCTAGAGGTCCGGAAAGCCTACCGACAGCTGGCGCTCAAGCTCCATCCGGACAAGCAGACCAAGGACTGCCGGGATTAATGGGTGGGGCCTGTGCTAGAGTTAAATACAACAGCAGGGGCGGACATCCTTCAACGGTCTTGCCGTTCCGACAGGGTTGCCAGAGTAAGGCTTTGTATCTTAGCAGGTGTTGTTAAAGTCTTCCTGGAATCAGAAACGATCCAGGACTTGGACGGAGCCCGCTTCAAGAAGGTCACTGCGGCTTACAAGGTGGAACCCTCATGCAATCCCTCACTTCGGCTCATGACTGAGGTCGGGGGTTAGCTGACATTCAAGACACCACTTCTTCAGAAGGCTTTTGGCTATTTAAAAGCATGCTTCCAGCAAGGTAATCATCTGAACTGTGTGGCATCACAACGACGGCTACAGCACTTGTTGTGATTCAGTCTTTCCTGGTGCTGGCGAGCCCAGCCCACCACGGCAGGCCATTTGCGAAATCCTGGATAGCTGAACTCCACGTGTTGGGTGCGCGCGCATTTGCGCTTGTTCAGCATGCCATGCCGATGCTGTAACATCAGCCGGGTCAGTGCTGCCGACATGCCAAGCAGAAGCAATCCCCAGCGTGCCGAGTTCATATAACAAAAACCCTAAACCCTAAACCGTATCTTAAGCTCAGGCACGACATTGGTAAAGCTGTGAATTCTACAAACATACGAAGCCCCAAAAACATATTTGGTAATTTATTTTGAGAATTGTTGCCTTGTGAAGGAAAAACCAAAAAAGAATTATTTTCATAACAAAAGGGAGTTTCTACCATCATATAATATATATGAAAAATTTTTCGATAATAAATGAAATTTATTTATTTAATATTCTAAAAGATATATTGTTTGCTTTCTTATTGAAATACTTTATATTTCAATTGAATTTCTATATTCTTATATATATATATCTCTAATATAGATTTAATTGTACGAAAAAGAACACGTTTTAATTTTTTGCGTATTATTATTTTGTTATTTGAAAAAATAATAAATATTATTCTTAATTGTAATGGATTCGTTATTTTTAATATCGAATGGTCAGTGAATGATATATTTTTGTGATCTGGTGGAGAAAAATCTTGAAAATTATCTATAATGTTTTCTATTTATTTTAATAAAGAGATATTGATTTCTAATCTTATAAAAATATGATAAAAGAATAAAGTTATTATTATTGAATCGAAATTGGATGACAAAATTTTTGTTCGAAATTATTTGATTTCCAAGAATAATTTTATAAATTTATTTTTTTTATGATTTCTTAAATTTTTTAAATTTTTCTTTAAAATATCTTTTATTTTATTGAAAGTCCGAGATTTTTGGTAAGAGATTATATTTTATTTATATTATTGCTCTTCGATTTGTGCACGTATTAAATATATATTATGATATGTCGGCCGTTTTCTTTCGTTCGCTTTTATAGTAATTTTTTCTCTCTCTTTACTCGTCTTATTATATTTCTTCTCTTTTTTTCTTCTTGGTATGTACGATGGGTTATCTATATGAATAACACTTCTTTATCGTTTTGTGGTAGCTTTTAAAATATTTAATTTCTTTTTTAATATTAAGCGATGATTCGATGGATGACTTGAATACAAATTCGACGGCTAAGCTTCTTGAATTGATTAGAATTATATAGATTTGTCAAAAAAAAATAGACTTTTAAATTTTGATTGTATCTTTAAGCTCATACATTTGGGATTCTACGATTTTGTGTTGAATGACAATTTCGGAAGAATATCTACTCTACGAAATTGTATCGCTTGAAAAATTACAATATTGATAACGATGTCGGACTGGTGTCTTATTGTTATTAGTAGTCGTAAATAAAAATGATTTATTCGAAAATGTCTTTTCTATGAAAACACTGGAGAATGTTTGTGATAATTCTCTGTGCCCTTAAGAATAAGACATCGATTTCTAATTTTTTTAAATAGGACCGGAAATTCTACGAATTGATAGGGTATTGAATTTTTGTATTTTCAAAACTCAATTTTCTTTTTGTAAATCATGGGAAATTTGATCTGACCTCAATATTCATTATTGTGCAATATCGTTTGTGAAATGAGCTTGCAATAAGAAAACAGTGCTGTGCAAGATTTTTCTTGTAAATCGTGTGGGATTTTTTTTGGCCTTATCTAAGTTTGGTAAAGGCTTGTCGAGTAATGATTGCTTTATCTCCAAAATTTGTTCTTTTTTTTTCTGTCCCACCAAAATTTTGAGACTGCCTGCACCCATCCGAGGCTGTGTGTCCTAGAGCCCAGCCCAGCCCCTCGCGGCGCTGGACGTGAATGACGTCTCCTCCATGGCCCGTAGCTAGCTGACGACTAGCTAGCCGCGCTACGGTGAGAGGCGATTTCATCCCGCCAATGGTGCTACTTGCGCAAATCCTGCAAAAAACCGCACGTGAAGCAGTCAAAACTGTTCCAGAAAACAGAAAAGAACCCCTTTGGAAACAAAATTCAATGATTGTTGTTTGTCTTCTTTCCTTGTGGTGTGTTGGGCGGTTGCTGTTAGGTATTTGGGTTTCACCCGCAGTTGTGGTGTGTGTGGTGGTTCTTGGTGTATGTGAAAGGCTTGAAGGATGACAGTCAGCAGAGACGGAAACCCATCAGAGTGTTGTTATAAGTTGGAACAAGAAGCATTGAGACCAAATTTTTGCGTCGTGGCAGCCATAGGCATGAGTCTCGGTTTGGCCAGTATGTGTGTGCATAAACAAAAAGCAAGACAGATTTTCATATAGAGAAATGAGACGGAGATCTATACAGAATTTCATATGAGCAAAACAAAAATACATAAACCATGGATCTCGAGGAAAAAGAATCATGCACATTCATAGCTTCTGAGCTTTATGTTCTTGCCCATGGATATATTGGTATGTGTATGCGAACCATTTGATATAACCGCATGACTTCAATTTTCTTGAAATCAATATTCATGTATTTGTATTTATGTGCACCATATGTGTGTCCGTGTGTATGTTAATGTTTTGCATATGTATGAAAACCGTTTAATATAACCACATGTTTCTTATTACTATACATAGGTTTTTTAAATTGAATCACATGTGTGCGCGTGTATGTGTCTTTGGATTCATCACATGTATGTCATTAAATCCAACTCATGGACCACCGGTCAGAGGGCGGAAATTAAAACTACCCATCATATCACACACGACCGCTTAATGAGAGGGTCACACGTTTGGGATTCTACGATTTTGTGCTGAATGAGAATTTCGGAAGAATATCTACTCTACGAAATTGTATCGCTTGATCCATCACAATATTGATAACGAAGCCGGACTGGTGTCTTATTGTTATTAGAAGTCGTAAATAAAAATGATTCACTCGAAAATGTCTTTTTTGTGAAAAAACTGGAGAATGTTTGTGACAATTCTCTGTACCCTTAAGAATAAGACATCGATTTCTAATTTTTTAAATAGGACCGGACATTCTACGAATTGATAGGGTATTGAATTTTTGTATTTCCATAACTCAATTTTCTTTTTGCAAGTCGTGGGAAATTTGATCTGGCCTCAACGTTCATGATTAAACAATATCGTTTGTGAAATGGGCTTGCAACAGAACCAAGAAAACAGTGCTGTGCACGTTTTTCTTACAAATCGTGTGGGACTTTTCTTTGGCCTCATTCATGTATGGCAAAGGCTTGTCGAGTAATCATTTCTTCATCCCCAAAATTTGTTCTTTCTTTTCTGTCCCACCAAAATCTT